GGCTGCCCCCCTCCCCATGGCCCCTCCCTTCTCTCGGCCCAGGGGTGTCCTGTGGGAAGAGGGATGGAGCCCACGAGGATGAGTATCCTCTCTAAAACGAGCCTTAGCAGCCCCATGGCCCACACTGCACTGTGGAGAATCCCTGAGGACCAGCTCCCCAACCCCAGGTGGCTTTTGGCTTCTCACACCCTGCAAAGATGCTGTGGTGGGGGAAGATGACATCATATTTTATAGCCCCCCTACTTAGCCAGTGTTTTTAAGCCCACTCATGTTCGTGGCATCCTGGTGCCACCATCGGATGGAGCACTTTGCTTTTGTTCCCGCTGCTCTCTGCTCGCCTTGTGGACCACCATGCTAGAGGGTCCCTAAAACCCGGCTCTTATTTTTCCCTAGTACCTCCCTACCTGGCATTTGAGATACCATTGCTCCATGTGCTGCTTGCTGCAAGGGCTGTGGGTTTTGTGGAAGGTTTCTGGCAGGCGCTGGGGCCAGGCAGGTCCTACATCAAGGGATGTGCTCGGTGACAGGGCAGTGTGACCCTGAGAAGTTTTGGGAGATAATGGGAAACCCCTTTTTTCTCCAGAGGGCGACTGTCTAGAAAAAAACGGGATGACATGTTGGGTTGCTGGGGTGTGGCAGGAGACCTCTGCTTCGCAGGGACCCTCATTTGCATCCTATGGAGAGGGTGGATACAAGTGGAGCATCTGGCTCAGAGCTTTTTCCAGCACCTCCCTGCTCTGTGCTGAGCTTCTGCACTGTGGAGAATCCCTGAGGACCAGCTCCCCAACCCCAGGTGGCTTTTGGCTTCTCACACCCTGCAAAGATGCTGTGGTGGGGGAAGATGACATCATATTTTATAGCCCCCCTACTTAGCCAGTGTTTTTAAGCCCACTCATGTTCGTGGCATCCTGGTGCCACCATCGGATGGAGCACTTTGCTTTTGTTCCCGCTGCTCTCTGCTCGCCTTGTGGACCACCATGCTAGAGGGTCCCTAAAACCCGGCTCTTATTTTTCCCTAGTACCTCCCTACCTGGCATTTGAGATACCATTGCTCCATGTGCTGCTTGCTGCAAGGGCTGTGGGTTTTGTGGAAGGTTTCTGGCAGGCGCTGGGGCCAGGCAGGTCCTACATCAAGGGATGTGCTCGGTGACAGGGCAGTGTGACCCTGAGAAGTTTTGGGAGATAATGGGAAACCCCTTTTTTCTCCAGAGGGCGACTGTCTAGAAAAAAACGGGATGACATGTTGGGTTGCTGGGGTGTGGCAGGAGACCTCTGCTTCGCAGGGACCCTCATTTACATCCTATGGAGAGGGTGGATACAAGTGGAGCATCTGGCTCAGAGCTTTTTCCAGCACCTCCCTGCTCTGTGCTGAGCTCTTGCCAGCACCCCGCTGCCTACTGGGGTCAGCCATGTGGCTGGGAGAGGGCAGCAGGAGCAGGGTTGGGCACAGCACCTCTGCTCTGATCCCTGCTCCCCGCCAGTGCTGCTGTCACTGCCAGCTCGGTGCCCTGTGGCTCCCTGGGGGGCTGCCCTGGCCAAGGCTGGCAGCTGCTGATGGGCTGGCCCAGGCCCTGGGCTGGTTGCCAGCACCCTCTTATTCTAGCTGTGCTCCTGCTGGAGGTTCCTGCTGCTGCTCCCTAGCTGCCAGGGTCTGCCTGGGGTCCCTGCAGTGACACTGGCCTGTCCCAGGGTTCCCAGGGCCTTGCAATCCTACATGCGTGTTCCATGCGGTTGCCTTGACCTGTTCTAGCAACTTCATTGAGAGTGGTGACTGGGACGGGGACCAGGATAGGGACTGGGGTGCATGACCATTCTGTGGCCCAAGCCCCAGCAGTAGTGAGGCTGGAAAGGGCCAGACAGTTTGGCTCAGCCAGGGCTCTCCGATGACTCTCCCAGCTGCCTTCCCAGCAGGGCTCTGGCCCAGCTCCAGGTGTCATGTGGGAGATAAGGGGACCCTGGCTCCCAGCAGCTCCCAGCGTCCCAGGAGGGACTCGCCACCAACAGCAGGAGAGGACCCATGCTGCTGGCTGTAAGCTGGACCCCCCTGGATACAGCAAGGACCCTGCCCTGGGGGCTGGCACATCCTGCTTGGTTTGGTGTCTGCTGCACAGCTGCTTGCCCTGCTGGGCACCCCGAGGAGGGGCCCCCAAACAGCACAGCACTCACTGCTGGCCTTGCTTCTGTGATGATGCTGGGGTGCAGCATTGCCAGGAGGGTTGGGGCAGGGAGCAGGGAAACTGGGGGTGTCAGAAATGGGTGGCAGGTCAGGGCACCCACGGTGCCCTTGGGACACCCCCGGCTGGCTGGGTTTAGAGAGCATGACCTTTTCCAAGGACCCAGCTTCCACAGAGGCTCTTTGTGGCACCTGTGGTGGTATCCCTGTCCCCTGTTGGGAGTGTGACAGGGACAGGGAGTGGGTCTGGCCTGGTCTTGGTCTTAGAAAGAGGAAAGGAGATTTGCTGTATTGGGCTGGGGACCTGTTGTGTCTTCATGTCTGTGCCTTCAGAGCAGGGATCCAAGCACAGCATTCCAACAGGGCACTCTCTGGCATACCAAACTGCAAGCCCACTGCCTCCTCATCAGGCTTGCACTGAGTCATTTGGGCTGGGGTTGAGGGCTAAGGTTGGTGGTGTCCTGAGTTTGGGATGTCTCTGCAGGATTGGGACCGTGGCTGGAGCCGCCCCCCTGCCCCGCTGAGCGCACATGTCTGCCTGCCCATGCCCAGAAGATGACCAGGCTGCTCTTGGGGGTGACCCTGGAAAGGATTTGCAAGGCTGTGCTGCTGCTCTGCCTGCTCCACTTTGTCATCATCATGATCCTCTACTTCGACGTCTATGCGCAGCACCTGGATTTCTTCAGCCGCTTCAACGCCAGGAACGCCTCGCGTGCCCACCCCTTCTCCAACTCCTCCCGCCCCAATGGCACCGTCCCCAGCTACGGGCCAGCGGGCGCTGAGGCCCCGTCCCCCAGCGCCAAGCCCAGCACCAACCACTCTGCCACCGAAAAGCCCTTGCAGCCCTGCCAGGATACGCCTCCCGGCTTAGGTGAGATGTGTGGGTTGAGAGTGGGGGGAGTTGAGCTCTGGCTCTGAGCATGGGGCTGGGGTGGGTGCCTGTGGGTGGTGTCCCTATCCCCTGGGGCCTGGACAAGGCTTCCCAGCAGACTTGGGGCTGGAGCAGTAGAGAAACCCAAGCCTGGAGCTGATACCAGGACAGCTGGTTTCTCCAGGTTTTGTTAGCAGCTTGCCTAGTCTCTCTGCTCCTGTTTGGGAAAGGTTTTGGGTGTCCTCTGCCCTTGGCAATGCCAGCCCCCCTTGCAGATCCCAATCACTGTTTGCTCTGCTGGCTTGGCTTGGAGCAGCAGGTGACCATGACCCAAACTGTGTCCTGTCCTGTGGGCATCACCCTGTTCTCCCTCTTGCAGTTGGGCGCCTGCTCATTGAGTTCAGCTCTCCCATGAGCATGGAGCGGGTGCAGCGGGAGAACCCTGACGTGCGCTTGGGTGGGAAGTACACCCCTCCGGACTGCCTGCCCCGACAGAAGGTGGCCATCCTCATCCCCTTCCGGCACCGCGAACACCACCTGAAGTACTGGCTGCACTACCTGCACCCCATCCTGCGCCGGCAGAAGGTGGCCTACGGCATCTACATCATCAACCAGGTGAGGGGAACAGGGGCAAGAGGCTGGTGGGGCAGGTGTGGGCAGGCAGGCATCACTGATCTCTGCCTCACAGTTCGGTGAGGACACCTTCAACCGGGCCAAGCTGCTCAACGTGGGGTTCCTGGAGGCCCTCAAGGATGATGAGGAGTATGACTGCTTCATCTTCAGTGATGTGGACCTCATCCCCATGGACGACCGCAACCTCTATCGCTGCTATGAGCAGCCACGGCACTTTGCTGTTGGCATGGACAAGTTTGGGTTCAGGTGGGTGCTCTGTGGGGCTGGGATGTTTCCTGAGGTAGGACTGCAGTGATGCTGGGTCCACCAACCTTGGTGATAGCCAGGGAAAGCATGGGGTGCTGGCTCAAATTGTGGATGTTGGGTGGGAGGGGGCACAGAGCCCTGGGTGAGAGGGTGACACAGGAGAAGGCTGGTGCTTGTTCCTCAGAGTCCCCAGAGCATTATCCCTCACTTCTGCCCGTCCCTAGGCTGAGCTGTTTGCTGTCACTCTGCAGGCTACCCTACTCTGGCTATTTTGGCGGTGTCTCTGGGCTGAGCAAGTCCCAGTTCCTGAAGATCAATGGCTTTCCCAATGAGTACTGGGGCTGGGGAGGAGAGGATGATGACATCTTTAACCGGTAGGTGCCAGCCCCTTGCCAGTGCTGGCTGGTTGGGGATGCACTGGAAGCTCCCCAGTGAGCACTGACCTGGCACCCTTACCTGCTCTGGGGCTCCCGGTTTTGCAGGGGACATGCAGGGGTTATGCCTCATGGCAGGAAGGGGTGTAATTACTCTCCAGCTTGAGAGTTGGTGACCCTCACGGATTGAACAGGCCCCTCCCAATGTGTTATGGGGCCAATGTGTTACGTTATGCTTTCCTTGTGGCTGAACCCCCTGGCTGAACCCCTTCCCACCGCGGTGTGATCTGAGCCAGCGGGGCGGTGCGCCTGCTGGCTCCACTCCAGGCCAGGGCTGGGATGCTAAACTTGGAAGCATCCAGGGCTGGGAGGCAAAACTTGGAAGCATCTCCGTGTCAGCCGTGCAGCAGCCCAGCAAGCATTTCAGCCAGCAGCCGGCAGGCCGCAGCACAGCTGTGTGCAGAGCTGGAGCCGAAGCTGCATCCCCCATGCACACCCTGCCTTGGGTGCTGGAACCAGACGGCTGCTGCCTCAGCTCCTGTGGGATTGCCTGTGGCACTGCCTGGGGGACCTGTCTGTGGCTAATGGTGCACGATGGGCCTGGAATGGCCGGGTGAGTGAAACTGCCCATGCATGTGTCCTGGGCACAGGTGGCACAGTCATGGTTTCCATCCAAGGTGTGTTCAGGACAGGGAGCAAGCAGGGTGTGGAGCTGTCTGAGAGCTTCAGGCAGCCTTTAATGTGTGGTGAGGGCTGCAAGGGAAGGGGTGAGCACTGGCATTTGGAAAACGTCCAACAGCACAGGCTGACTGTAGCTGCCGGCCGCTGAGCTGGAGGTCACCAGGTTGTAGTGGTGCTTTGGGCACCCTCTGCTGTGAGGCGCGTGGCTGCCTCGGCCCAGCTGTGGTCTGGGTTTGCTCTGCTTGGCTCAGCACAGCCCTGTTTAAGCTGGAGTGGGTTTATTTGAGCAAAGGGGATACTGCCCGCACGCTGATTCTTTCCTGCTCCTGGCCCCCAGCATCTCCCTGAATGGCATGAAGGTGTCGAGGCCCGACATCCGCATCGGGAGGTACCGCATGATCAAGCACGAACGTGACAAACACAATGAGCCCAACCCGCAGAGGTGAGTGAGCTGCAGGGGCTGGGGCAGACGGGGCACTGGGCAATTGCTGGGTCACCTATGGCTGGTGAATCCCCTGCTCTCCTCACCCCCATGGGAGGTCCAGCACAGTGGCAAATGCCCTGGGTCCCCCCGCCTCATCCCACTCCCATTTCTACCAGATTCACCAAGATCCAGAACACCAAAATGACGATGAAGCGGGATGGGATCAGCTCGCTACAGTACCGGCTGGTGGAGGTGTCACGCCAACCCATGTACACGAACATCACAGTGGAGATTGGCAGGCCACCACCACGCCTGGCCCGGGGCTAGTGCTGGCCTGGTGGCTCTGTGCCCAGGCTGACTGGGCATGGCAAGTTTTGCCCCAGCTCAAGAGCCAGGACTGGACAGGGGGATGTTTTCTGCCTACTCTGCTGCCTTCCAGAGATGGCCACCTCTCAGCCCACCCTTTGGACCCCAGGATTTCTCTGTTCCCCCCCGTCCTCACGAGTGTGTTTGCAGGACCCCTGCCCCATACTTGGTGTGTTGGCGGACAAGCCCGGCTGCCCCACGTGTGGCTCCCGGCACAGATGGAGCCCTGCCCAGCCCTGGCCTGGAGCCCTCTGCCCATGCCAGCTCCTGCCCCCATCCCGGGTGAGTAGAGTGAGATCCCACTGCTCTGGGAGAGCTGGGGGGGTCCTCACCAGTGCTGTGAGAAGCGGGGTGCAGGCTTCCCCCTTTCCCAGCACAGAAGCCACTGCTGCCTGGGTGGGGGTGGAAGCAGCCTGGCCCCCCTCAAGCAGGAAGGACAGTGCCACCCCAGCTGGACACTGCTGGGCACACAGATGTGGCTCGCTGTCTTCCTCTGCTTTAGTCTGGTGCTTAGAGCCAGGCCCCATCTCAGCTCTGTCAAACAGAGACCTCCAGTTAGCAAACGCCCCCTCGCTGTGCCTCAGTTTCCCCAGGGCTGGGGGGTGGTGGCCGTATCCCATCCCCACCTCCCCAAAGGCAGATGCTGTGTGTGCGTGTGCAGCCTCTGCCCACGCCTGCCCTCACCTGCCTTCCCCCCTTTGGCAGGGACAGGGCTCATTTGAACAGCCCCAGCCCCAGCCCCTCTTAATGGGGGCTGTCCCATAGGTCCCTCCAACAGTGGGTGCCCCACAGACAGTTTGGGAGCCGTTGGGGTCTCCCCCTTCTCCGGCTCCCCCCTCCTCCAGGCCTGGGGCAGGAGGGCTGCAGGCAGGAGAGGCCAGGGCCCAGCCGGGCCGGGGC